TATATATATATATATATATATATATATATATATATATATATGTTATTATTTAAGCATCAACGCGGAAAAAGTGTTTTCATAGCAAATTTATGAGGATCAAGGCTGTCCATGTAAAATTTTGATTGTTTAACTTATGTCGGACAGGCAAAGTCTTACATCAGTTAATGTTTTACTTTATTTATTATTGTAATTTGTTGTTAGTGCTGTTGATTATTTGTTTCTTTGATAAGGTAAACAAGCAGACAAAGAGCCAGACTGGCATGCGGTACTTTCGAGTATGCATGCATATGCATATTTAGGTAAGTACAATAGGTTTGTGCGACTTTTGTACCGATCAACAATTTAAATTGTTATATTAGAGTTTGAAAAGGAAAAAAATTGCATTCACTTTTTACTTACAATACAAATGCATTTAATTTGGTTTTTTGCATTTTTTTTTTTTTTCTTTTTGATTTTATTTTATTTTTTTTCTTTTAGTGAATAATTTAGTTTAAATGATTTTTTTTTTTTTTTTTTTTTGAGCAGATAGGATACACATAAAAAATAACTCCACGAAACTAGACTAACAAATCATGTTTTAAGCACACATGTGGTGTGTGATAGTGGAAAATCATTTAATATACTTATATATATGTATGCTAAATGTACAGACACGAAAACACATGTGCATACAACGCATATATATATATATATATATATGTTTAGTTAAATACAGTTTTAAGGCCTTAAGAAAAAGAAGAAAAAATCAACAAAAATAACTTACGTCAGCGACAAAATGTATATTTGCAGCTATTGCTGCCGTTGATGTTTTTTGTTATTTATTTGGTCTATGCTGAAGAATTAATAGCAATGTTTGACTCTTTTTTTTTTTCTTCAAATTCTCTACTTTGCTTGAATTAGTTATTATATATATATATATATATATATATATATATAAATTTATATTAATGTATGTATGTGTACACATACAAAATATACAATCATACATATGTTTAAATTCATATAAACAAAAACTGGCATAGCAAAGCTAACCAAAAGTATATTTTGTTAACAAGAAGGCAGTGGTAGTTTGGGAAGACTGCAATGTAGAAAAATGTAACATTTTTAATGCAATTGAAAAATCATTTCAAGTGCGTTTAAAAGAAAAAAGCAAAACAAAAACAATATATGTATATATGTATATATGTAAGAAACACCGAAAAATAAGTAAATGAAAAAGTAGAAGAAGCACATGAACTAGTAAACGCTTGTGTAGGTTTTCTTAGTTGTGTGTTTCATTCTTTACGTTGTTATCTGCCTATCTGTTGATAGCAATTGTTTGGTAGTAGTAGCCGACATAGCAGTTACTGGGGCAGGCACTCAAAATTTATTAAACGCCAAAGCAAACTCGTCAAAAAAGTCGAGCCAAAAGCAATGCAGCTGAATGAAGAAAAACGCCAAAAGAAAACAAACAAAGGCAAAAAAAAAAAAAAAGTAACTAAACATTCGATAGTAACGATGCGATTAAGAAATCATCCGTATTTTGTAGGAAAACGTAACGTACGTCGTGGCGTATAAAGCAAAGCCTTTAAGCAAAAAAAAAAAAAAAAAAAAAAAAAAAAAAAAAAAAAAA